TATAACGGAAAACTAAAACGTCGTGCGTGCCAGCTAGCGCCTGGAATGCTGTAGGAACCACCAGTGCCCCGAATGCTCCGCCTGCTCGTTGGCAGGTGCCGTGACCTCGTCAGATGTCTCCAAGTCGGCGGCGAAAGGACACCCTTTACTTTACAGCCTCCGAAATGCTGTTGCAAAAACTGCTTGCACACGGCCAAGTCTGGACGATACCCGGCAGCACGCAAGTGCAGTGACCATTACCGTTGAGGGGTTCGGGGTAGCGAGGGCACTGCACCTGGCGGGAATGTGCTTCTTAGGATGCGAAGGCCTCGTGAGCGCGAGGAATGGCTGACACGCTACCACTTAAAACGTTGGCAGTGTCGACCATCTGATCGGAGCTGTGCGGGGCAGTTGCTCTCCCTCACAGAACTGCTCGACATGCAGCTTGCAAGCCTCGTCTGCATCCATAGCCTGCTGCTATTGACGAGGAACTACCGACTGGCAAAGCCAAGAAGACGAGATGCAAGTGCACAGCATCGAAGAGGGGCACGATGTGACGGGACATCTGCCCCTGCGCCTGTGTGCGTCCATGCCAAGCCAGGAATCCCAAACAGGCCTTCTCCTGATTCTTCACCACTACGTTTCGCATCACTCAGCAGCCGCGCCGCACGACTCTTGTGTCCTTCATGCGACCACGACATGGAAAAGCAGGTCCGGAGGAGCCTCAGCTAACATGCAGACAAAACAGAGCTGAGCGGTCGTTGCCGCAAATCCATTTGCGTCTCAGGAGCTGTGAAGAATCCGCTTTCACCCGCCAGAGGATCTAAGGCTACCGGACTGGCTCCCTCCATTCCAATCTCCGGGTAGCCTTGCCAGAACAAGACCGGGAAGCAAAGATGATCTGCGGCCCGTGCTTGTAAGTGGTTTCGTCAAGTTTGAGTTTGGGCCGAGATAATAATTTCGACCACTAGCATAAACAGAAACGACGTCGAGGTTTCAGTGCTTCCGCCCTTGCCTTCATCCTTTCATTGGGAACGCACGCTATCACTAGCCTCTACCTGTAGTGTCGGGGACAAAGACGTTACATTGCGCAATCTCCTACTCGAGCAGCAGGTGCCTGCGTTGGAGCATCCCAATTACGAAGGCGCTGGGCAGAAGAAAAGACTTCGCCGTCAAATCGGTTGAGCTCCTGGCAAAGTATGGCTTCACACATCAACACTTCCCTGTGATGCAGTTACATCATCTGTCGCGGGCATTCATCTGCCACTCTACACCTAAAAAGCATTCCTGTTACTATCGTCGCGGGCTGTTCGACTGCTAGCGCTGCTCAAACAAAGCGGCCTGCCAACCGACCAAGCAACGTCTACTGATCTACTGCCGCTTCCTTTCCAAACAGAGTTGCTCAGCAAGCTTGTTCCTCATCGCTGTTGGCATCGGCAAGCTCCAACCGTTCCTTGGACTCTGCGCTTGCACTTCCATCGAAGCCGAAACCGCTTGCTTGCGGTGACATGTCATCTAAGCACCCTGCTGGGTGAGAGCATGTCTGCAATTTCGAACGCCATGGCGGGCAGCGATGTTCTCAAATGCAAAAGCGCGAAGGGCCTTTGGGACCGTTGAATGCTTTTACCCTCTATAACGTGTTAAGACAATGAAGCGCAACAAAAACTTGTGCAAGTTGATGACCTGTTGGAAGAATCACATGGCAGCGCTTAACAGGTCAGTCTCCTGAGGGATGGCCCTCTCTCTCTCTCTTTCTTTCGCCAGGCTTGAGGGGCGAACCCCCCGTTGGGGGCAGCCCGATGTTGGCTGGACGCACTGTTTTAGTGCGATAGGCTAGGTTACAGGGGTGGCACGGCAGCACAACCAAAACATACACACAAGTTGAGTATTCAGTCCCATTCAACTGCTCTGCTCACCCTTTCTGTACCCCCCCCTCAGGCTAGCTGCACAACAGCACAGTACGCCCCTAGCATTAGGTTGCTTAGCTGCCTGCAGGGTGGTTGTTGGCCTCGCTGTCGCCCCGCATTGCCCCGAACAACAACAGGTTCACCTAAGAATGCAGTATCACAGTACGCGAGTGCAGCGGGCTTTCAGTGGGCTACTACGGCTTCACTGGCGCCTTTCGGACAACAACACGACCTCCAGGATTTGTGCAGCATCACAAGACATGCCAGGTCGCCACAGTGAGCCAGGTTTGCTACAGTACACGCTGCTCCGAGTGCCCCCGGTCCTTAGTCAACTCGAGTGGGTGTTTGTTGCGAAGTTTGGGGTTCTGGAGCTAGTGTGTCGCCCCGCTCAGTCACTGGAGTCGGACTCAGGAGAGCTCGGCGGCGTAGGTCGGTCACTCAGCGAGTCAGTCACCCGCCGTCGCCCTGAGGGTAGCTCGTAGTCTGCCATGGCTTCGGTCTCGTCTATCTCTCGCTGGGCCTCCTGCTGAGCTTCTACGCCCCCTTGTTGGAGCTCCAACATTTCTTGATATGTTGCCGCCCCGAAGTCGGGCGATGCCCCCATGCCCCAGTGCTGTGCCAGCGCTTCCGCAGCCTCGTCTTCGCTCTGCTCATGGTCTGCTTCTTGGCGTTCTCTGCCCCGCTCAAACTGGTGTTGTCTCGCTACGTCCAGTTGCGCTGCTCTCTCTTCCTCTCCCGGGTCCTGCCAGCCATCCAACTGCGTAGGGGCTTGCGCCCCGGTCGTCGGCCACTCTGCGTGCTGCTCCGCGTCGTCCGTTTGGCTGTCCGGTGCTGGGATCGCTCAACCCCCATTGTGCCATCGGAGCACTGCGGTGAGCGCCGCCCCGCAAAGCTGGTAGGCTTCGCCTTGAAGAAAGCCCCGAACTGCGGCCAGGTTTTGCGTCGCCTGCTCCACTGAGATGGCGTGCACATGGAACGGCCGCGGCGTCTCCGCCCGGGAGTGTTGCAGGCCCAGCACGTCTGCCGCGTGTGGCCCTTCGGCTTGGAGGCGACGAGGAGGTCGTTGTGGTGTTCACGGAGGCCTTGCAGTCCCATGGCGTCGACCCGGCTATATACATTATTTATGATGTGGTGAACCCCCCCGAGCTGCCGCTAGTCTCGTGCTGGACTGTTGCTGGAACGCCCCGGGGGCTGCATCCATGGCACTCGTAACCAGGTACAGGGTGCGGGCCAGCTGTTGGAGGACGACTTCCTGGCCCAAGTGTGTCTGCTGCTCCACAGTGGCTAGTGACAGCAGGTTTGCAGCTGCTTCTCTGAACAGGGACGTTATGCCCCTAGGCTTTTTCGAGGGCGAGCCAGCATCACTACATGGGGGCACGTTGTGGTGAGCATCCCTCCATGAGGTCAACATGTTGAGAAGGATCACCACATGGTAGGTGACCGCGTGCACTTCTCCCCCGGAGGTTTTGTAGAGCAGGCTTCGTAGTGTGTCGATCACCCCGTCAATGTTCGGGGGGGTGTCCTGAGCTTGAGCTGCTTCCCGTGCCGCGCCCCGGCGGTGGAGGTGGTGGTTGGTGGTGTTAGGCGGTTGCCCAGCGGTCGCCCATCCTGCAGCACCGGTTGCTGTGGTACTGTGGTGTTGCGGGGCGGTCTGTGGCTGCCTGGCTTCTGCGCAAGGTGCGGCCATCACTGAGGGGATGTGGCGGGGCCCCGTTGCGAGCGCTCGCTATGGCTCGCCCCGTGTGTGTCTGTTCTGACACAGCACCGGCTGTGGTCCGCTCCGTGTCTGTCTGCTCCGGTACTACGTGAGCTTGCGGCTGTCCTGTTGGTGGGGGGTCGGTGTGTGGGGTCCGCTTCTGCTGGAGACGACGCTGGTGGTATGGTACGGAGTGGCTCGGTGTCGTGGGTTGCTCTCGATCTGTACCAGCCACCATGGAGGGCTGTTGGGACTGCCTGCTTCCTCTGCTATGATTCTGCCCATGGCCCACTTGTTAGAAGGGCTCCCCCGACAGTACCTGGTGGCCTGCTCGCTTGTTGCCCCGATGGTGGGTTGCTTGGCTTGCGGTGGTGACCCGGCTTTGGCTTGTGTGCTGGGTTGCTGCGCCGTGTGCGGGGTCGTTGGTGGCACGCTGTCCCCGGGTTGGCTGCTCTCTGTCGGCGGGGTGGACGGTTGTTAAGGAGACTGGTAAGGTAGGCTCGCTCTTCTGCCAAGATTTGCGGAACAGCAGTTCTCTTGTCTGGGGGGGTAAGGTCTGGTCGGAAGGCCGCCCCTCGTCCTGTCCCTCCTCACGGGTAGAGGCCCAGGCGCTACAGCTGTATTTTGACGGCTCGCTTGGTGGCCCTGTTGGTGCGCCTCTTCTATCCTGCCCCTCTTCAAGCGGTGGGCTGTGGTTCTGGTGTGCTTTGAGGTGGGGGGTGGCTGGGGCCAGCGCTGCACTGTCCGCTGGGTGGGTGGCCATCTGGAGTGTCAGGTGTCGGTGTGGGCTCCATGTTGCTCGTGTCGGCTGCCGTCTGTTGACCTTGGTGGGTAGCTGCTGACGGCTCGCCCCGTGTCTCAGCGACTGTGGCAGTGGGGTGCAGAGTTGGTGGGTGGCTGTGGTGGTTGATGAGTGGTCCCAGACCACCACCGTTCACTCGACAACATGCTCCAAGCCGAATACCTGCACTGGCTCACAGCAGGCGAGCTACCAGACACGTCATAGAAAGAGAGCTGCTACCGCTGCTGGGCAGCTCGCCACGACACATGCTGCGGCATGCCTGCTTCGGTGGATGGTCCTGCGCTCTGTGACGGCGCCGTTGCGGCTGCGGCGTGGGTGGCATCTGTGCTGTGGTGGTACCAGCCTCCCTCGGTCTGTCTCGTACGGCTGGGGGGTGTGCGGCGCGGCCACGGCTGCTGCTGCGGTTGCTGGTGGTGTCGTTTTTGTGGGGCTGGCTCTTGCGTGGCCTGGGGGGGGCTCCCCCGCTGTCGGTGTGTGCGGGGGGGCGACCGTTATCTTGGGCTGCGGTATGGGCCTCGTGCTGGGGTGGTGGGCTGGTGGCGGGTAGGTCGGGTCCTGCCGTGCCCGCCCCTACGGTATCCCAAGCAGCACTGCCAGGCTGCTACATGCCATGACTTTAGCTGTGCTCCGAGGTGCCATGTTGCATGAACGTTCGAAGCAGCTGAGGTGGTGGCTGCACAATGTGTAGGATTTCTGAGTTCGCTCGCTCGCCCGCTCCTTGTGTGAGACTGTACGGCGTTCTGGGCTGAAAGTTGTGGACGGGCGTGAGGTTGGCTATGCTGGCCTGCCGCCCGCTGGCCCATGGTGGGTCGAACTCCTCGACGTAGCTGTCCTGGGGGGCGATCCATTGGTCTTGCGCAACAGCTATCATAGCCGCCAATTTTCGCGATGCTTCTCTCCACGTCTAGCGCACTGTTGAAGCGCCCCCCATGGGAGATTTTGGCGGGTTCCGCAACTTCTTTCCACCACTTGAGGTTTCGCCAAAGAAGCAGGTCTCGGGTGGGTCCTGGATGTCTGACTGCATGCCCGTAGGGCATGCGCATACGTGGACCACCTCTCTTGTCCGCTCCGGTGTAGGTGGGCACGAGCCACCCGCATGGTGCGGGTCTGCCATTCTGACCAAGACTCCGTGGCTGCTCGTTTCGCCCCGAGCATGGTACGCAGACAGCCGAGTTGAAAGCTGTTGGCCGCTCTGAGCAAGCTGTGGAGTTTGCCGGCCACGTGGCGCACCCCCAGGTAGCGGAGTTGCGGACCAGTGTGGTCAGCAGCTTGAGGCGTGTCTCCAGTGCCGTGGGCGCACACAGCAGCTTGCGGTGCGCGTGAAATGCGTGGCGGCCTCTGGCTTGCATGTCGGCCACTAGTGCTGTCACCCCGCTTTTGTCAAACGTCAGCGGGGAGCCCAGGGTGTTCATGACATCCGTTGGCGCCCCTGCTTTAAATCGCTGGCCCCCCACTGTGAACTCCGTATCGTGCTCCATGCTGCAGATGATCTGGGTTTTCTTGACGTTCACGAAGTTGCCTTTGGGAGCCAGGTTGCCTTCAAGGTGGGTCAGGGCCTGTTTTGCAGCTTGGTCGAACTTTCCGACCAGAGGTACCTGTCGTCCATGTAGCCTGCCCCTAAGGAGGGGGCACGGCGGCAGGTCAGGGCGCCCCGGTTCTCAACAGGGACTTTGTCGTGGAGGTTCTGCAGGCTCTCGCCTATCGTCGAGGAGTAGAGCGCTGCCGAGTCTGGACTGCCCTGGCGGACCCTGTTGGTTTGGTCTACCGACACAATGGACTTCCCGATGTAGATGTCGATGGCCCTGGCCTCGAGAATTTCCAACCATAGCCGTGATTCCCAGACTTGGCCGCCCCGTTCTGCGACCGTCTTCTGGACCATGGTGGCAAGGGCATCTTGAGCGATGCTGTCGAAGGCCTTCCTGACGTCGACCTTCACCACCCACAGCTTCACATGCCAGTCGGCTGCTATCCGCATCAAGCGGCGAAGGGCTAAGATCAGCTCCTGAGCTTGTCGCCCCGTCGAGCAGTACTGGTAGTAGCAGAGTTCGTCGAGGAACGGCTGGCAGCGGAGTAGAAGAAGTTGGGCCATCCACCGGAGCAGCGTGTTACTCAGTGTAATTGGCCGAGTTTCACTGGGACGCTCTCCTTGAAAAGCAATATGGTAGCGCCCCGGCCGACGGCCTCGGGGACGTTGGCCTTGTAGAAGCAACTTCTCCTCCCATCCCGTAGATCTCTTGAGGCGTTTCAGTTGCTTGAAGGCGGACCAGTCCATAGTGCTAGCTTATTCCGCCAACTGGGCCGTGTGTGCCTTGCGCTCTAGGAGCTGCTTGGGCCCCCGTTTGGCCTCTGCACAGGCTTGCTGCCCCGCTCTGCAGGCCTCAAGGAGGACGACCAGCACCGGCTCGTGGTCTGTGGTGGCCATGTCGCACGCTGGTACGACCTGACCTGCTCCTGCCCGGATGTGTCGCACGAGGATGTAGTCGAGGCGTCTCGGCTGGAACGCGGTATTGTACGGGTAGTGGCTGGGTGCTGCAAGGTTCTGCTCCGGCAGGTAGAGGTTTTGCTCCATCATCCAGTGTAGCAGTGCATTGCCCTGCCCCGTATCTGCTGTGAGCCGCTCCGCCACGTAGTGCAAGCTTTCGTTGGCGTCCACCCCGATGATCAGGTGCTGGATGCTCATCGGGTGTGTTTCGCCCCATGCTCGCAACATGCTGATCAGGCCGGTTCTGCGGCCGTCGGGGTGCTTGAGAACTGTGTAGATGCCCCCTGCGATGTGCCCCGAATGCTCATGGCCGCCCAGTTTTGCGAGGTACGCTACTCCTTCGCCCCGCCAGTCTGCATCAGCCCTGCCGTAAACTATCTTCCAGTCTTTTGCGACATGAAATTGAATTCCAGGCTCCGGCACAACTATCTCTTGGAGAAGTAGCAACGAAGTACAGCTCAAGGTGTCATGCTTCAACATTTCCCCCAGCAGGTCCGAACATCTCTGTATATCCAGACCTCCCACGTTCCATGTTGCCACATGTAGCTGGTGGCCAGTTTGGCTTCCATCGTGAAACTGCGATTCAAGCCCATCTTCTCAGCGAAGCACCGCCCCCAGCGGCTGCCATCGCCCCACGAGCTCCTCCTCTGTCATGCCCAGCTGGCGGGCTGCTTGCCCTAGGTGGATCCACGCCCCGAGGGTGCCGGCCGTGGTCGCCCCCATGGGTGCTGCTGTCACGGCGCTGCACATACGCACGGACTTGTGCCAGAGTGTGCCGCTGAACCATTCCGTGTCAATGTCGCTCTTGTCCGCCCCGCTCTCGAGCAGGAGTCGCTTGGTCTTGGACGCGACCATTGGCGCTTTTCTGGGCTCTGCGACAAGTGCAGCCACAGGCGCTGGATTTGACCGTCGCCCCGACGCCCCAGCTCTATGTTGGTGTCCTGCACCCGTTGTGTCGCCCCGCGCAGCCTGTCGCGGAGCCCCTGCTCGGTTTCATCGCCACGTTGCTTGTAGGGGATGATCACAAACCCTCGGCGGACACCTGGACAGAAAGCTTCGGTCATGTCCAGGTCCACGCGGAGATCGGCGATCATCTGCTTCGCCCGAGCCAAAGTCGTCTCTGCAGCTTGGTCCTCGTCCCATCCGCCCATCACCATAGCAGGTCGTCGTCTCTCCGATTCGTCGGCCACATTCGGCCACCGTGGAGCTCCAGGAGGATCCCAGCCCCTGGGGCCGTTGCTCGAGCGCCCCGAGGCGGGCGGCGAGGTTGGTGTGGTTGGCCTGCAGCTCCTTGATCGCCCCTCCGGTTCGTCCTGTGTGGCAAGTGTATCCATGAGCTGTGACGTGACGGTCTTTTCAACAACTTCCACTCGCTGCCCCACAGCGTGGGTGATCTCGTTCTTGAGCTCGGCATTGTTCTGACGGAGACGCTCCCTCATGGCATCGATGGTGGCTGCCCCTGGGTTCGTCTCCTCGTTTCTACCCCGCTTGGCTGGGGATCCTGCAGGTTCATGGCCCCCCCCCGGTACTTGGCGGCGTGGCTGCAAGGTCCGACGTCAGTGCCTGGCTGCTGGGTATTTCCGTAGTGCTCGACATTGCAAAGGTTGCGATCTCACCGCTCCGCAAAGTAGTGCACATTCTCGACTATGTTGGCGTCCCCCGCCCAGCGTGCTGGTTCTGACTCTCCCAGCGTACAGGGTGCGGCGGATCACGTACAAGGCTTAGTCCCCCTGTAGGCCGCCGATCCTGTAGGCGCCGCGGTTGTGGGTCTCCCGAAGGGACAGCGCAAGGCCACCGTTGAGGACCGATCTCGACGATGTCGCCCCGGTGAGCGGCAAAGATGAGGTCGCAAAGGGCTGCACGGAGGTAGTACTCGCCGCGCTGCTATGCACGCAGGTTGCGATTCTCTCTCTCGGCTCGCCCGGGTTGAGACCCCCTCTCAGGATGGGGCTCGGGTCTTGAGCCAAAATGGCTACTTGAGCACTCTCTCTCTCTCTCTCTCTCGCTCTCGCTCTCTCTCTCTCTCTCTCTCTCTCTCTCTCTCCTCTCTCTCTCTCTCTGTCTCTCTCTCTCTCTCTCTCTCTCACCCACTCACTCACTCACTCACTCACTGTGTCAGGCACTCACTAACTCGCTCTGTCTCCGTTCGTCTCCATCTCTTCAGCTGTCTCCTCACTCACTCAGTCAGTCAATCACTAACTCACTGTCGCTGTCTCTCTCTGTCTCCATCTCTTCAGCTGTCTCTCGTGTTTGTCTGTCGGAGGGTCCAAAAGAATGAAGAGCAAGTCACGTTGAGCTCTGCCTTGGAACCGTTTGCGATGCCTAGAACTCCATGAGATGTGAAACAAATCGAAAGATATCAATCGTAAAGACCAGTAGCATGCAAGGAAGATGCAAACACTCTCCCTCTGTTTTGACGGCAGGCGAAGCCGCAAGTTAAGCGAACAGCGGGCAATAACCTGGGCGTGACATGTTGTGCCCGTGAACTCCTCTATGGGTACAACGGTGCTTTGTCCGAAGGAATGCCGGAAAAGGATCGCCCAATCGTGCCTTAGATTCTGCAGATTCCGAGCGACATGAACTCTGGAGTTTGGTCGCCAAGCCCGTGCTTCGCTAAGCAATTCGACCTGCGGGGGCGGAGGGGGGGCGGGGGTCCGGAGCTCTGAGGCCTCACGACGCTCGCGGCGCTTCAACGAGTGCTTCCTTGTCGAAGAGACCGCATTCCTTCATCCTGTGCGTGAAGCAAGAAAGACTTGGAGACACGGTATCTTGCTTACTCTTGGAAGACACTGGTGAGAAGATGGCACTTTGATCTGACACTGACATTGACTTTGTCTTTGGGATGCTCTTGGCACTGTGTGCTTGCGTAGCAGTGCTGGCGGTGCAAGGTGACGCTGGGACCAAGTCGTGCATCGTGTTGCTTGCCGGGCACTGCATTGAATCTGCCCAAAGTCGTTGCGTGATCGGTGCCGCACTTAGCAGGCGATTGTCGTCATTCAGGCGCACTGAAGCCACTGAAGGTGGAAGTCAGCAATGCCAACTGCGACGCGACACATTGGTCTTCTGAGAGATCTACCGTGGATGGAAGTTGCATCCATGACCTCTTGCAGTTAGCACCCGTCAAAGATGTCGAAGCAACACGAAAAGTTGACCCAAGTCGCGTGGCCACAATGCTGCCTGTTGTCACCAAAATCCGTCTCAAGCGCCAGTGTGGGAGCGAGCGGCTCGAATACGATGAAGTAAGCTTAGCCTTCCCCTGCCGTCCAAATTCATACGACACGAGTGCTACCAAAGCAGACCTTGGCACAGCGAGCCCAAGTGGGCCGTCCTGCATCGTGTCGACGCATCATGAGCTCTGCTGGACCCACTCTGATGCTGCCTTGTAAATACATTTCTCACATGCAGTAAACGACAGAGGGAAGGTTTCTGAAATGCACCGCAAATAGACTCAGGTCTCTTGGCGACAAGACGGCGTAAGAAACCTCTTCACGAAACTTCAGGCACGTGATGTAGACAACCCATGCAAGCGGTACCACGACGACCCATGCTGGGACATCCTCAGGCTGCTTTCGCGAACGCAAGCATGATCGCCGCGTGAGGGTACTCTGTTCTTCTTGAGCGCTGGTGACACTGCTGACCGAAAAGAGTGCTAGTTGTCTCAGCAGTGGATGCCGGAGCCTGCAAGAACATGGCTTTGGAGACGAAAGCAAGCGATCCAGGTTGTCGGCGCGCCCGGCAGTCACTGCAGTGGCGACGAGAGGGGCCGAGTCCATGATCCAAATCTCTGGTGCGCCCAAGAGGGCCCCAGGGCCGGTCCCAGAGCTCTGTTGGCATCCGGAAGTGAAGAGTTTGGATTCTGCTTGATGCGAGCATCGAGCACCGGGGAGGCACATGGTTGCGGACTTCAAAATGTGGGAGGTTAAGCTGCCGCGGGGCAACTGCACAAGCGGCAGTTCGGGCATCCGTTCGGGTGCTGTTTCAAAGTATTGCCGGGTCTGCAATATCAATACCCCTGCGAAATGCGGAAGATATCTGCCGAACGCATTGAAGTCCATGTCCCTATGCTGATTGTCTGCAGCAAAGTTCTTGGCAAAATCACCGGCAGTATTTTCCCGAGCCACTGCCCAAAGGTGGACGGGAGACGCGGGACAACACGTTCCAAGGTTGCCCTGCTTCAGAAGATGCTCGGTGCCCGGTGCGGAGCCAAGTTTATAGGGGTGAGCCAGGGAGCCAGTCGCAGCGTAAAGGCATGAGTTCTATTTGCGGCGATCACTTCGGGCTTTGCGGCTCCAACCTCGACCTAGCATCACATGAGCGATGGGGAACCTGTGCAGCAGACATCTGCACGAAGCATTAGCGTCGAGATTACTTTCTTGAGGAGACAAGTATGATATATCTTCAGAGTTGTTAGCAGGTTATAAGTAAGACGACAGTGTCTAAGCTGTAAGCAGAACTCCGGTGGCATCTGGCCGAAATCACCCTTGAACACAAAATAGACCTTGGGTCTCTCAGGCTGACCTGCTTCGGACATTCGGTGCTAACCTTGAAGCCAGTGCGCCTGAGTGACAGGACCTGGAGCCACCCAACATCTCCAGGCACGCAATGACCATAGGCTTCAGCATCGGCTTTGCGCACTGCTTGAACGGCTGAAACCCGCAGTGCTGACTCTCGGCTGGGCAGACCGCAGCCGTACATCCTACACTCGAAAGCTCTCTGATGAAACCCCAGAAGGTTGCGTCAATGGGCCAGCAGCTTGGGCAGAACCGCTGCAGGAAGCGATTGCTCGGCTAAGCCGGGACGTGCCACTGCGGGGCACGACGGGATGCGAAAGCTGGATCCCAACAGTAGCAAGACTATTACTGGGAGCTGGCCTCGACTGGAAGTGCAAACGAAGCACAGAGTCTGATTCCATTGCACAGACAAGTTCTGGAGTCAGGCACACTCGGTGCTAGGAGGAACGAGGGCCAGACCTCTGGTCGTCACCCGTTGCATTCAAGAGTGTATGAGCCACCGGCCTAGGCCGGCGACACTTCACAGCGCTGCGATGTACGCTGCGACCTTGCTGGGTGGTATGCGAAGCACGCCCACAACAGAAGACAAACTGTTACTGTAAGCTGGACTTCGCTTCCAGTGCAGAAGCAGTGCACCTTCCATTGCCGCGACGAGTTTTAAGCCAGTCAGAAATAGCGGGACAAGCTAGGAGTGGCACGCTCTGCGGATGCTGGGATCGCTGGCGCTGGCCCGAACCCGAAGCGAAGTCGGGCCATGCATGTAGCACTTCGTCAGCAAACTGGTTGGTTAGGGCCGCTGATAGCCTCAGGCAGATACGGGGCTAGGTAACCCAAAATTACTGCAAGAAGGTCTGCCAAAGAGAAGCGAGCGAAAGCTTCATGGGAGTTCCCGAGGCCTTGTGAGCAGCACCAGGATGGCACATGATGGCACACTTCAGCAAGACAAACTGGCAGGCTGGTACAAATTTTGTCAAGCTTCAAGTGACAATGAGGCAGGGAGGACTCCCGAAACGGCCCTCTTGTCAAGTGGAACCCACAGGTCACATGTCCACATGCACGAGGCAGATCAGCTAAGATGGGAGCGTCATGCGTTGACGCGAGAAGAAATGGCGGAGTACGGAAAGCACAAGCTTTGCAGTTGTTGTGCAAGCAGATGCCGCACATGCAGCAGAGAGGTCCTGGGCTTCTGATTCGTAAACCGAAGACAGCTGGACGAGTGAGAAGGTCTGACGCCGTCGGGACTTCATTCGCTCACCACGAGGTCCGAATTCAGCAGACACATTCAGGGAGCCGCCAAGCATGCGCACCAGAACGCTCCAGCTGTGGCCACCAGGGCCAAGTCCGTCAGTTCTCGTGCGCACGTGCCAATCTTGATTCTAAGGCCTTCTTGGGTTGTGGACTAGATGGCATATCCGGAACGAGGCCGTCAAGAAGTAATTTGCCCGAATGCAGCCCTCTAGACTCCTGGATAGAGTTGTGTTGTCTGTTCGCCGTATGCCTGAACCAAGTGGCCCGATGGCAGCATGCGTTACTACAACGACCTCACTGACCAGAGCACGAGCAGGAGCACTGGAGCCGTGGGCTGTACATGCTCATGCGGCAAATTCTTTCTGCATCCGTTTAGGATGGGGCAGACTCCGGCGGTCAGCATAAAGCTTCCAAGGAATGCAACCCAAACTTGCAGGCCTTATGACACTGTCACGAACTTCACGATGACACCACTGCCGCTTGAGTGGGAGTGACCCACGTGATCTGTGATCTGAAGACTTGGTCAAACGGTGTGCATCGAGAGGCCACGGTTGCTGACCGGCCTTGTTCCTTTGGTCTCTCCTTCTGTGCTACAAGTATGTCGAAAAAGCACTCTACGCCTTTTCCGATGTGGTTGCACTTGCACGTCCGGACTGCGCATGTATGGCCTTCGCCAGCCTGGAAATCTCTCGAACTTGTTTTTTTCTCTTCCAAATACATTGGGCGAAGTTTTCAAGCACAGCAACCCAGCATCCTCAAGGTACATGGATGCCATTCCAAACAGGCGAAGGGGGGAACCACTAACTGCACTCAAACCACCAGGTGCTAAGGGAGGAATCACAGGACTGCAGCATGGCCGAATGTCCATGAAACCAACGTTTATGCAACACAGGGGGTAGTTATGCAGCCATTCTATGGATACTTTGCTTGTCATGAACCGGGTGTGGAAAGGAGTGGGAAGAGTCCAGCCATTCTGCAAGCAGGTTTAGCACAAAAGTTCCTGCAAGCACAAGGAATGCAACCCAAACTTGCAGGCCTTATGACACTGTCACGAACTTCACGATGACACCATTGCCGCTTGAGTGGGAGTGACCCACGTGATCTGTGATCTGAAGACTTGGTCAAACGGTGTGCATCGAGGGGCCACGGTTGTTGCCGAGGGTTCCGGGGGAACTCCTGCTGCCCGTGACAGAGCAGCTTCGTTCTCCAGCAGGCATCCAGGCAGTAGATCCGCAGTTCTCACATCTTTCGGAAAATGGACTCCGTCAAGAAATCTGATTTCGGCCTTGCCACAGCCGCAGAGCACGGTCTGCACAATGAACCTGGCTCAGTCGCAGCACGAGACGCTGATTCTGGTGGCTTGGTGGTCCTGTGAATCGCAAGCGCACAGACGACAGCACCGCCGTGGAGCCCAAGACGGGAAGCATGCACTAGCGTGAGACGCTTGTAGCAGCTAACCGGCGTCATGAGCTGAACTACATTGCGTATTTGGCTTTATGTGTTGTCCTGCTTGCGAAGACTTGTTGCTGCTCTCACTAAACGGAGTTGCACTCTCGGGGGGTTTGTGCCTGTCAGATGTAAACCGACCGGCCTTGTTCCTTTGGTCTCTCTTTCTGTGCTATGTCGAAGAAGCACTCTACCCCTTTTCCGATGTGGTTGGACTTGCACGTCCGGACTGCGCATGTATGACCTTCGCCAGCCTGGAAATCTCTCGAACTTGTTTTTTTCTCTTCCAAATACATTGGGCGAAGTTTTCAAGCACAGCAACCCAGCATCCTCAAGGTACATGGATGCCATTCCAAACAGGCGAAGGGGGGAACCACTAACTGCACTCAAACCACCAGGTGCTAAGGGAGGAATCACAGGACTGCAGCATGGCCGAATGTCCATGAAACCAACGTTTATGCAACACAGGAGGTAGTTATGCAGCCATTCTATGGATACTTTGCTTGTCATGAACCGGGTGTGGAAAGGATTGGGAAGAGTCCAGCCATTCTGCAAGCAGGTTTAGCACAAAAGTTCCTGCAAGCACAAGGAATGCAACCCAAACTTGCAGGCCTTATGACACTGTCACGAACTTCACGATGACACCATTGCCGCTTGAGTGGGAGTGACCCACGTGATCTGTGATCTGAAGACTTGGTCAAACGGTGTGCATCGAGGGGCCACGGTTGTTGCCGAGGGTTCCGGGGGAACTCCTGCTGCCCGTGACAGAGCAGCTTCGTTCTCCAGCAGGCATCCAGGCAGTAGATCCGCAGTTCTCACATCTTTCGGAAAATGGACTCCGTCAAGAAATCTGATTTCGGCCTTGCAACAGCCGCAGAGCACGGTCTGCACAATGAACCTGGCTCAGTCGCAGCACGAGTCGGCGCTCCATCAACATGCTCCGTTGATGACACCTTACGTCGACAGATGCAGGCCAGTCGCTGATGTTTCGCCCGTCTGCCTTGTGCGAGCTGCCACGCACTGAGAGGTGCCCAGTCATCTTGATCAAGGGTCGCTCGAGACGGAATGTGACAACAGCAGCATCATTCAGAAGACATTGTTCGTCGAGCTCCCTGGCACATCTAGCAACGACCCGACCTCGGCGAATCTCCGACGCATCCACAGAGCTTGAAATCGGCTGCAGAAAGCTTAAGTGTTTAACTGCGTACCCATCCCACACTTCCTCCACATCGGTCCGCTCCTGACGCATGTGACGGCAAGCTCTCTCCAACGATGTCAAGTCTAGGCCCTGACAGTGCAAAACCTGGGACTCGGAAAAGCAAAGAAAGGGGCTTCAGGTCCGAAGCGAGCTCGGGCAGAACGCATCAGACTGTTGGAGACCCACGGCTCACTTAGCCGTGTCTGGCATTATCACCGGAGACTACCACTGACAGCGTAGTCGCATTTAGTAGTGAGTGGACATGACAAGCTGCCCGGGCTTCCATGCAAGTATGCATGCCCGCAGTTGCAACTTGTCCGGTTGTGCCGGGTGAAACGTCCCATGCCGTGGAAGCCAGTGCCAGCAGCTCCGTGCCAGCCGAAGGAAGGCCCCGCGCACGTTCCATTAGAAGGCACCAGAGTGTCAGGAATCACCCTCACCACAAAAAATAGATGCCCTTGCTGCAACACCGCCGCGCCGCCATGCTAAGCCTTACACGTGAAGTGGCTCCCTTGACGCATGCTGTTTGGAGCCCTCGTCATCAGTACCGTGATAGGACAAAGACCCAGCCGACAGTCTTCCTCGCCGAACTGGAGCCTCATTGAAACCATGGGGTGTCCTCTCTGATGTGGTCATGGCCGACATTGGTCACCCGAAAACGGTGGCCGCCTGTATGATGTTCAGCTCCGATCTTGCTGCGGCGGGCGTGACCTTGAGCTGGACACAAGCGAACGACGAATGCGCTTGAAGTGACTGGGGCGAAGATCGCCGACACACGACCATCTTTGGATCTGTCCGGTCTTTGAATCTTTCGCGATGCGGTGACACGGGTAGCTGGCGACAAAAGGGGTTGCACCAGCCACGGGCCGACAACAACGAGGCACTGGCCAGGTGGGCCTTGCAAGACGATGCACTCCGACGGAAAGGTTCTGGCGCACAAAGCCACTCTTGGCCCGAGACATCCTCGCGCACGAATCTCCGGCGCACGATGCATGCTGGCCCGACGTGTCGGTGGTCTTTCTTTCGGCCATGCTGTGCATGGAAAAGCCGGATGTGGCAGGGCTTCGGATTGCAGGCTGGTGCGAGGACGGCTTAGCCTCCAGGCTCTGCTATGACCACAGAAGCTGCAGAGAGTGATCAGTGCATGTCCCAGCTTGCACACGCGGTTGTCACGGTCGGCAGACCATGTCGGACCGCCTTTGAGCTGCTCACCATGTGGCTCGATGGATGGAGCCGATGTGACGTCGGTAGAAGTCTGAGGGTTGACATTGCGGTTGCAGCTCCCGGGACATGCCGCTGCCGACAAAGGACGCGAACCGCCGCTGCTACTCGTTCGAGCGCTGCCGCAAGCACGTGCGAGCAGGAGGTGGAAGTGCAAGGCTAAGCATGTTATCGGAATCTATAGGATTAGGTCAAGCTTCCATGATGTGGAAGTGGCCGGCCCGCGACTCAGCAGCGAGGCGGCAATTGCAAGATGTCACCTTCCTCTCTGCGGCCGCAAATAGCTCAGCTGCCAACTGGTGGAACGCAAACTAAATGCTGACATACGGGAGGCGGGACACGACGACCTGTGCCTGTCCGAAGCTGCTGAAGGAAACTGCGGACGACGTGGCGGACCTGTTATGCTACGACTGCTTCCGCACTGAGCACCTGCTCCCGCGGAATTGGTCGGGAAGCGAGCGCCTGCAGCAGTTGTCCTACCTTCCCATCACGTTCGAGCGGTGTCAGGCGTGCGCTTGGCCCTGGAACCTTCGCAAACCTGCGCACAAAGCAAGTGCCAGGAGAAGCAGCAGGCCCAGGTCGCGGCCACGACGACGACACCGCCGAAGCCACCATGAAGCCACATGGGGCCCAGCGTGTTGCAAGTTGTGTAGACGAAGGAGGCGCCGGAGCACTGTGATGCACCTCGCACGGTCGCGATCTCTGCCTCAGAAGCAGCATGCACCAGCTGCGAGCACACATGCCGCACATGCCACTACTGGACGTCCAGTGCTGGGCAGAAGGCAGCTGTTAGTCAGTTAGTCTTCTGCTGCTGCGTGAGCATGCTGCAGTGCCGGCACATGCCCGCGGACTCGCACGGGCACCGCAGTTTCGGCTTAGGAAACCTGTTCTGCCAAAAGGCCTGGTCCGGACTTTCGTGGAAAGGGCGATGGCAGCGCTGTGACCCCGTGGTTTCCCAAGGCCCATGCAGGGAGAAGCGCCCTTGAAATCGTCCCGCCACAAGCTGCGCATGCTGTCGGGGTGAGGCTCGAGACGAGGCCCGTGTCCGCGGATACCCGGCTGGGAGCCGCCCAGAACAGGGCGCAAGCGACGCGCACCTGTCGCAACTTCATTAACCGAGCTGGGGGGAGCTGGCGATGTCTCTTTTCGGAAGTCAGGACAGAGTCTGAGTATTTGATGCAGTTGGAAGCAGAATTTCAGTGCAGCTGATGCACTGGGGCATCCAAAGTTTCAGCGGGCCAAGCCGGTCGTTGCCGATGCATGGCCGAAGCGAAATCCACATTGCAGCCATGGAAAGAACGGTGGTAGGGCCTGTGGATCCTACGGCTTGGAAGATGATCAGCACCATGCAGAAGCTGGCAGTTTTGGTTTGAAGCTTGGAGGGGGAGCTCGTCCGCAGTCGCACAGGTTCCACTATTTTGCTTTGAAGCTTGGAGGTACAGCTCGTCTGCAGTCGCACAGGTCCCACTATGTCACTGTGTGGGCCAGCGACCCAAACATGCATCGCTGACGAGCCCAACACGACACCATACGGTCACTCCTTCGGATGCGCAGGCTTTTCACGAAAGCCTGTGCGGACAGCCAGCTCTGCACCAGGCGAGTGAGTGCCACTCGACTACTGTCCCATCACAACTCACGGCAGCGGGGCGATTCCAGCACACCATTGCTCGTTTCGCCAACCCGGCCTCGAAACGCGATGGCAACTACTCCTTTGATCGAACAAACTGGACCTTCTTCGAGGAGAGCAGTAGGTGTTGCTCGTGATGGTCTCGACGACGGCACGCATCACTACTGGGGACCTTCCTGTCTTTCCGACCTTCGATTTGCAGCGAAGCAGTGTGAAACCGCGACCGTCCTTCCAATCTGTGGCCTTGGCGGGTGCGTCCAAAAACTCGCAATCAGTTTCTAAGCAGCTAGACCGTGCCAGGCTTCCTGCAAGAGGAGGCTCGCAAACCAGCCAAGCAGGACAGTAGCCGTTCTGCAAGATGCTCTTAGCACTGAACCCACAGGCCTCAGCATGTAGCGATGGTGTGGACGGCCGGGCTCTTGTGAGAAACTGCCAGTGCAGATGCAGCTGCATGGCAATAAAGGGAGGGCTCCGTGAGATGAGGCACACGCGCAGCGCCCTGTGTCACGAGGGAGGTGTCCAGGCCGCAAGGTTGTGGCATGCTGGGACAGTGGCTGCAAAGGCTCCGTGGGGCCCGGTGCCAGGTGAGCCTGGTGTGCCAAGCGACGGCGCGCCTGTCTCCGCTGGGTGCAAGGGCGGGTGTCACGGCCATGCTACTCAGGCCTGCAAAAGCAAAACGCCTCACGAAGCCCTTCACCATGCTCCAGCTGCAGCGGCCCGGTCTGCCATGGCAATCAGGGCGTCGGACTGCTCTGATCAGAGCGCTGTATCGGCGCAGGCAGTACGCACGCACACTATGCCGCTTTGCTGCACAGCGCTGGCTGCTTTTACAAGCGAAGTTGTCGGCGCAAGGTGCACCCTGCCGGGCGGCAGGTGTGCACTTGCGGTCCGGGTCTCTAGGAGGCACACCTCAAGGAGCATTGGGCTCCCGGCACCTGGCCACTCTGGCCGACAGCATGTGAAGTGCACAACTTCGAACGCCTTTCCACCGAGCCTCACTACCGAGAAGGAAGGCATCCGAAGTCATCCCCTGCCTTGCAAGGACAAGGGAGATGCAGGCGTGCCAGCGTGCTCCTGCATGCATCTCCGCCTTCAGCGGAAGATGCTGCTCTAGGGAGGGGACATAGGAGACTTCCTGTCCCACTCCTCTCACAGCTTCGGTGCAGATGTCACTGGGGCAATCGAGCAGACAGTCGGTGTCACCGGCTTCAGAGACTTGGAAGGAGGCGCTGAGGACCTGCATGGGCGCCAGCAGCTCACAACCGGCTATCGACTGCAGCGACACACTCGGACGCCCTCAGTGCCAGTGCAAAGTGGAGCTGCTTGAGATGCGAGCGAGGGCGCTCGGAAGTAAAGGGCACCATCGGTGGTTCGTGGCTCCCAGGGTTCCCATCCGCTTCGCTTGCAGGCTGTGGCAGCTGCACCTGGTGTGACCATCCAGACTCCGAATCAGCGGCCCTGGGACGACGTGCCCCACTTGACAACAGCGGCCACTGCTTGGCCGCGTTGGACAGGGGCTCTGGCTGGCAAGGGCCGCCGCTTGCAGCAGCAAGCAGAGAACTGTGGTACGGCAATGCTGAGACGTGAGCTCTCAAGTCTCGCGCCCCTCCTACCCTTCGGTTCCATGTGAGCTCCCCGCAAGCTACAGGATTGCTGCAGCGGCCTACATGGCAAATCGTACTCTCTCGGCCTGGTCAAGACCACGCGACAGGAGGTGGAGTCCTTCGCTGCAAGCAGGCCCCTCAGCCATGCGGCCATCGGCGCGCTGGGCAACGCTTGATGCCCCGCAGCCTGGGGCTACTTCTGGCCTTCGCTCTGCGTCTGCGCGGGGTCGGTATCGTGGCTCTTGCCGCCTGACGGCCTGGCACTGCAAGCCCACGACCAGCGCTCGCAGTCTCGTGCGCCATGTAAATGCGCTTGCGAGCACCGGGTGGCGCCCAACGCAGCACCGCAACTGTCAACGCAGCCGATCGAGCGACGTCACCTGAGGCGTGCGCACCCCTCGTCTGTGCATGCCAAATTCGGCAGAGAATGATTCCTGGCAAAGTCTTGCAGAGGAGGCGTGCGTGTACTGCCCTTGTCGTGGCGCCCTGTGTGCAGGCAGAAGCAGCACAGGGAGGCTTTGGCGGAGCTGCGCGCAGTGCCCACGGTGAGAAGCGAAGGCACACCAGCCGCTCGCCCAGTGAGGCTTGGTAGATTGAGA